ATGTTCCTCCCCCTCAATCCCATGCCCATTGTTATCAGAAGGGGGCATAGGAAATGGGGACTGGGGCCCAGCATTGATGATCATCCTTACCTTGAGCCTCAGCTCTCGTCTCAAATAATTTTGCATGTTCTTCACCACCTTTCAATTTCTTTCTCTTTAACTCTTTCTTCTTTCCACTGCCTAAGGTGTAAGAGCCATATTGAAAGGGAAAAGACTAGCTCTGTCTCATTTCTAAATTGCCTCAGGGAGCCATAGGCACAGTATTCCCTTAGTAAATTGCCTAGCCTATACTCCTCATGGGGAACCCAGAGTGGTAGATCATTTCACTTCCTCACATATTCCAGGCTCACCATGGCCAATAATGAAATTTTTATACCCTTATTAGGGGCATTAAGGTTTGCCCCTTCATCAACTAGCCTATAAAAAGTTAACTTCTCCGGTGTCCCAACCCCTGCCTCTCGTTTGATAACTGATCACTACTGTAACCCCTCCATGTTACCCCCTTCCTTACTCCCTACCACACTCTCTTCCTGCCCTCATCCTCCTCTACTTCCACCGTGACAAACCTTTTGAGTTCTCTTTGTAGCCCAGCCAAGTGGGATTGATTCTTTGTGATTCCCCCTATAGCTACCTACTCTGACAGTACCCTCCTCTTCCAACAATTCCTGCCCAGCCTCACTCCTCCCTTAACACCTGTGCTCGAACTGTTTCCATCTCCTTAGCTGATTGCCGTCTATGACAAGGATTGATCAGCCAGGCAAAACAACCTGCTTGCTTGCCTTGTTGATTACGATTGAGTAATCAAGTGCTACACTATTCCTCCCAGAAGCCATTATAATTCCTACACCAATATTGCCAAGATTAGCTTTTGTAGACATGACCTTCCCCCCATGTCCAACCCTATCGACCCTTTCCTCATCAATGTCAGAAATATTGGCGCTCTGACCACCCAGCCAAGCTCTGACACCCCACTGTCCTAGTATATGTCCACTATAGTCATGATCATTCAAATGCTTTGGACAATCACAAGTGTATGCCAGAATGTATTTCATAAGCACTGACCTACCTATAAGCTGAGTCTAAGGTAGCAGTTCTCTGATAAGAAGCACACCTACAGGGTTTCTCTTTTCTTCCTTACACCAACGCTGTCCTTCACTTCACTCTTCTTCCTTCTTCCCAAGATATCTGTGCATCTCCCATAGTATCTCTTCCCCTTGTCCCTTACCATCCTACCTCTACCCCTTTTCTCTCACTCTCAGTCTAATTCTTTTGTCATTCTAAAAGTGGATGCTCTAATCTCTATTTCCCTAGTACCTTCACCTCTTCATCCTCACTTTACTTGATGGCAATATAAATGTTCCACCCAATCTTCTCATTATAAAAAAAAAAAAAATCAGACCTCCCCACCTAAATCCCCTGTAAGAATTCTTGAGGACATCAAAACTTCCTAAACATAACGCAAGAGAACATTCCTCTCCCTCATAACCCTCTAATTTCTTTACTCTAGATTCAAAGTGACTAACAACATTCATCCTCATCTTCTTCATCTTCCCCCTTCTCATCCTCCCATTCTCTACTAACACACTCCATCCTCCCCTTCTCCATCTGCACTTCCACCCCTTCCCACCCCATAATCCCTTCTGCTTCCTTCTGGATGCTCATGAGACCCTTTTGTCACAATAGTGCCCTTCTCAGATCATTCCTCACCTGACATTCTTCCTTGATCCTATGTTTCATTCTCCATGTATTCCTCATGCAGTATTCCTCATTCAGCCCCACACATTCTGCTGTCCTATTTTTGATTTACTGCAGCCTGTACCTCTGCTTTTCCTTACTTGTCCTGTCTTCCCTGTCCCCCCCAATCAGTTGGACATTCTCACAAAATCCCCCACTTTTTCTTTAACAACTTGTTCTCCTTCCTCAAGACACAAGATGCCCTCCCTTTGATCTACACTCCATTAGCCCCCTTACCCCTTTTACTTATCCCACGTTACCCCATTTGCTCCCCCTATTTACCCTTTTTACTACCATAGTTTCCAATAGTGCTGTATGACCTTTGATGTCAAAACACATTGTTTATATGATTAACTAATATTTACCCCCTTTGCCATTTATTTAGTTTGACCATTATTATTATTATTATTATTATTATTGTTATTATTATTATTATTATTATTATTATTATTATTATTATTATTATGTGTAAGAAAAAGTGATGGAATTAAAACTGAGAGGACATTAACAAGTTACTTCAGTTTCTCTAACCCTTACTATATGAACACCCATAGAATGCTCATCTAGAATTAGAATAAGAATTCAAGCAATTTTTGAAGCATCAACTTGGATGGGATAGACTTTTTCAGTACAGTGGAACATAAGCATAAGCTCTTTGTGGGTTTTAGGTAGCTAGCATACATCATCATCATGTATGCAACACTGACAAGATCAAAGAGTTGTCAGTGGTGTATATCAAGTAGTATAAACATTTTAAAATTTATTTTGAAACAGGAGGATACTATACGTATAGTGTTGGAAGAGATGAATACACTATTTGAACAGAATCAGCGAGATGTGTGAGTAGCTTTTAGGTTGTTGTAATCTTTAGTGGTTATGAGTTAATGGAAATTGTATTACATTTTTTTACATCAGCCCATATTGCACTAATTATTATTTCATATTATTTAGAATTATTTATCTGTGGAAATGTTGTAATATTTATTTTATGATGATTATAATAGTTTATAGAGAGAGAGATTGACATCTTCATTCTTGTTTTGTCAAAGTAACGCAACAGTGGCTGGTGATGTTCGTTACTTTTCTGGAGTGCACTTAAGGCATGCTGCCTTAGAGAGGAATAGACGTTGTCTTCTGGCATATCTGTAAGTAGTTTATTTATATGTTACTTTCTTTGGTTTTACTTTCCTTGCAACTTAACTAAAGATTTATAGTGCTGTATTATAAATCATTTAGAAGTCAGCATGTGAATGAATAAAACTAAATGAAACCCAGTACCAGGTGCACAGTAAATTGAAACTGTCCTTTGTCTGTGCACAGTAAATTGAAACTGTCCTTTGTCTGTGCACAGTAAATTGAAACTGTCCTTTGTCTGTGCACAGTAAATTGAAACTGTCCTTTGTGCACAGTAAATTGAAACTGTCCTTTGTCTAAAATTTAGCCAAAATATGAAATTTAAATACATAGCAATAAAAATGTCTTTTCATCCATCTTCTTTTCTTCTGATGTTTACAGGGATACTGTAAAAGGGCTATGAACTATATGATATGTGATTGTGAAATTTGAAGCTCTGATTTTGTTAACATGTATAATAATCATAGGTACAACAGATTAGAGAGAGTGCGTGACATGAGATGGGAGTTTGGTAGTATCCTGCCTGCAGATATCAGAGCTAATATGTGCGAACCTGAGGTAAGTAGAATTTATACACATGGATTCCAGTTGAACCACGTTACTCTATCCATATCCCTAATTCATTTAAGACCTTTCACATCTGTTTATATCAATTTTATTTATGAATATTATGGATGAATAGAAACTTTTATATTTTGATAGATTTTTTAATCAAAATATTATGAAACTGTTTTAGATTTTATTTTGATTAGGATAGAAGCAAAGGTAGTTGTTAATGACTGGTTATTTTTGGAACTCATCTACTTAGTGTGTCAGAATTTATAGAGAAAATGGATTATGTTAGATTTATCTCTTTTTTTCTGGTTTCTTTATCTTTGTTTCTCATTTCTTTATTGTATACTAGTTGTTATGAAAATCCACTTGTGTCTTGTAGCCAATCAGATAGTCTTTGAGTGACTAAATGAGTTGAATTTCTCTCTTCAATACTATAGATTTAATTTTTATTGATCATGTTTATAATATTTATCTTTACAGATTATATGGTTTAATAAATATAATAAGAACTTAGCTTCATATATGAGATCACTGGGGGAAGGAACTGGTCTTGATCTTACACAAGACATAAAGCCACCAAAGAATCTATATATTGAGGTATGTTAGAACGGTATTTTAAATACTGTTTTTCGAGTTAAATTTTATGAAAATACCTGATTAGATCGCAGATATTGCTCTATATTTAATGTAATTTTGATATAGCTATGAGATGTCTCTGTTATATAAAGCTTATCCAAGTAATAACTGGAATATATATCTTGCTTGCAGGTTCGATGCCTTCAAGACTATGGAGAATTTGAGATAGAAGAAGGAGATACTGTGGTACTCCAAAAGAATACCACTCACTACCTTCCAATGGCTCAGTGTCAGCACTTGATCAGACAAGGAATTTTGGAACATGTTGAATGATAAGTTAAACAAAAGTTTTGTTTCTTTAGTGTAACATTTATGTATGAGAATTAGATGAAGGCAATATAAAAGATCCTTAATACAGATAAGATATATTTTATGTAGTGTTCTAGTGAAAATAAACATATACAAAAAATTATGTTCTTTTTTCACCAAATTTTTATCCCTTGATGTGTTAAGTAACAAGAACCTCTGTGGTTACAATCTAAATTTCTTTTGTTTTCTTGGCTGTGCTGTTAGAGTTTGTCACAGGTTATAATGCTTGTTTTCATCGCTATGCATTGAAACAAAACTGCTTTAATACTGCTATTTTATAACAATCCACAATGAAAACACTATATGCTTGCATTACAGGTGTCAGCTCTCAATATTATGGAAAATTTCTATGTACCGTTTAGGGGACCTGAGCTTGCTTGCCTACTAAAATCAGTACTGGACAAGCCCTTTTCCAAAAATGTGTATATGTATGGTTATTTATTTGTTTGATTTTTATATTATTATCTTCAACTTCAATTTTGAAGTTAAGGTGCTCAAAGAATATTCATACTGTGTTTTTGTATATTGATTTGTACTTCTGGGAGACACACATGGGTATGACCTGACTTTTTTTATGGAGGGGAAGGAAGGGCAATGAGATGCCATCATCATCCTTATCTGAAATGACCTAGCCAATAAGATGTTAATAGGTATATGGGTGGATGGCAGTTACAAAATTTTGAATTAGTCTGATTATAGATACTGAGTATATTTTGCAGGCTTTTTACCCTTGCCATAATGCCAAAGACACTTAGGCCACAAAAATTTATTTACTGTCCACACATTTAAAAAAAAAATGTCTTGCATTTTTCACATGTTAAGTTTTATTATTCTTTGAAATGGATTGAAACAGAAAAGATTGCAAATTTATTTGAAACATTCCAATTTTTATTTCCCTGGTCTGTGTATGGTCTAAAGTGCAATTTTAATTTATAAGCTACTGTGACACAGGAATGGAAACTTGCTTGAACACGAACTGGATCTTTGGCCTCCAAACAACTCTGTGGGAGGGGAGGAATAAAAATCTATCAAATAAAATAGTTAGGTGACTATATAACCATTTCATCCTTGTAAACATTACATGTGGAAGATTCAACAAAGAGTTCAGTTTAAATATACTTGGTAATCGAAAGTCTTAAGTGTATAGATGTTAAGTTCTCAAACTGCTTCATGCTTTTTTCTTTTGTTTCATATTCATAAGTTTGCATCGTGTTGATTCTGGTTGAATTTTTCTGCTCATTCAGCAACCACGTGTGATCTTTTGGATAAGGTCAGATGCAAAAAGGAATGCCATTATCTACAGAGGCAACAACTCTGGCTCTAGTCCAAATCACATTTGAGTCTAAAATGATGAGCAAAGGCCAAAGAATACTACCTGCATATATTAATGTGTTTCAGTATTTTGTTCCTTTCATAATTCTGAAGTAGAAACATTTAATCTAACTGGATAGGCTGGTTAGAAATACACATTGACAAAAAAGGTCACTGAGAAGTTAAGGATTGTGTTGGCTGGGTGAAGCTTTAAAATATGGGTAAAAGAAATAAGTCTATCAGGCTGTGAATGTTGGATGCTCAAGGAAACAGACAGAATGTACCTTAGGTTGCAGGTATTTGCCTCTATTATTACAATAAACTTCCAAGGAACCTGTCTTTGGTTAAGCATTAAAGTAACAGCCTCAAAGTGGTATACCACCCATTTGAGGAAAGATACAGAACACAATAAAATCTTTAAACACAGAATGTATGCTATATACCTCCAGTGACTGGTTATAACGTTTCTATGTTTGTTAGAAGGGGCTGGCTACAAACCCGTTCACGATTATCTACCATGAGTAATTTCATTAGATATGAAGTGCATATATCAACTATGCAGTTAAAATTATGCAGCTATCAACCCAATGACATAGATGGAGATGCAAGTGTTTAGTCACCAAGGAATCGGTTACTAAGCCTACAAGATCTCACCTGTTTACCCCATTAAAAAGTTTTTCTATTACTATTATTTTTATTAATGTATCAACATCATTAGTAGTAACAATAACAGTAATAGAGATTTAAACTTTCTTCCAAAAAATTCCAAGGAATGGGCTACTATGTGAGATTTGGTAAGCCTAGCAGTACAACTACTTGCTAACTAAGCACTTCTGAAGCATCTATATGAAATAAAACCACAATGTATGCTGTATGAATACACTTAGTCCCACCGTCATGAGACTACCACAAACATGGCTATGTATGATCCCTTACTGTGGACAGAATGTAAACCAATGTTAGTGGCAAATTACAGTATTCCCAATTCCTTCACAGTCTTCATGTCTTGATATCTTGCAGTAAATGTTCTACTTTGAATGCTTTCATACATTGACAAATGAAAAACAGAAGAATGTTCTAAAGGTATTTTGGGTTAAGAAATAATTGCTTAGGGGGTTTATAAATGAAAGCTTATCATGATTTTTGAATAGCTTCTCTTTTGCCTGGTTTAGAAAGACAAGCAAAGTAAACAATCACAATATTTTACCAAATATCTTTTATACATAATAATTATATAAGAAGTAATCCTCTGTCACTTGAAACAGGAAAGATAAAACAGATAAGTTGCAATAAATTTTATTCAAGATTATATAGCACTAGGGATGGCCAAGTCATAATATCATAAACAGTTCCTTACTGAAAACTACTGGAACACTTGAAAGGGTTTGATGATCAATAATAAACAATAATCATCAAAGAAAGTACACTCTAATATAATCAAGTACAACATTACTGTTAAAAATAAACCAAGGATAGTTTCTATGTATGTACTGCAACATCAAGTTTCTCTTTTAGATGATAGACTAGCACAAATAATGGCAAAGAAGACCATTTTCTTAAGCAATGGTTAAATCAAAAAGGTTTTTCCCTTGGTTCAGCATGTTTTCCTTTAATTCGCACAATAACAAAGTCATTTATTCCAAAGTATGCTCCACATCATTCCAATATATTCAGACAATAATCATTCATGTTCCAAATGGTAGAGTTCCATAAAAACCCTCAAAAAATTAATACGACTCTTTTCTGAACATGACAGTGCCAGGTTAAAGCATCCACAGTAAGCCACAGCTCTGTGCTGGTTTGGCTTACCACTTCATTATGACTGGCATTATCTGAATCATTAGAATGATCTTTGTTGGATTCTTTTTTCTTTTTAATGTAACATGAATCAATGTTAATCAAACAGCTTACGTATCAGAAAGAAGATATCCAACAATATTGTACACACCTCCTCTTTTTAAAGCATCTATATTTCCTATGATATAGTGAAATTCGTGTTTTAAAGAACAATGTACACATCTTATATTATTGATGTACTAGGATCAATTCCTATGTAAAAGAAAATTCAATTCCAATATATTTCATGTGTAACAGAAAAATAAAAGATAGCTTGTTTATTATATCTAGTATGGAAAATCCTATTTTCATAGATATATTCACAGGTTATAAATGGATGCTTTTTGAGGGTATGCGGTGTGTACAGTTATTAACCTCATCCACCAGCAGAAGGCCCTCTTCGGTCAGGTCTGAATCGGCATGATCCACCTCCTTCTCCCGTAAGGGGATTGTACTCTGTAGAGAGATGAAGTTAAAACATTATAATATTTGATGCACTTGCTGTATATGTCCAATAATGCAATACTGTCACTTGTAGAAAAATGATACAGTTCTGTGTTTTGCTGTCATTCATCACTGGTATTTGGTAATGCACTTTCAATAAGTTTTCTCTTACTAATTTTGTTTATGAATGGATGACTTCATAAGCATTTTGTCATCAAGAAAGTAATTACAAGGTCTCCCTGACCTCACCTGTTTACCCCATTTTATGAATTTTCATGAAAATAAAATTTATTTCTATGATTATTAATATCATCATTATTACTATATTAACAACAATAGCAAAAGAATTAAAGACTTCTTTCTAAAAAATATATATTTAGGAATGGGATAAACAGGTTAGGTCAAGACTTCTTGGTGAAAAAGCACTTCAATTCCAATCTACACACACAAAATTTCATAAAAACTAAACCAGTTAGTTATGACAGAAAATAAGATTTTTACATAATGCAATGAAGTTTTATAGCCTTGATTAAGCCATCTTTTCCAAAATAATTAATTTGGTGCCTTTTATATTAATATCATATCTAAATTACATTACAAATATTAAATATATATTTGATATATTATTGTAAAATTATATATATATATAATATATGTATAATAAGTAATACATATATAATATTTAGAATATTATATAATTTATAAATGATAATATATATTAAATATAATATATATATATTGTATATATATATAATATATATGTATATATATTATATAATGTATATATTATATAATTAATATAATAATATATATATTATATTATTATATAAATATAATATATTATCTATTAAAAATCTTTGGTAAATGCACTAAAGGGCTTTTCAGATTAATAGCCAATGCTAACATATCTAAATTAAATTCAGCAACAGTATTACCTATAAAATCTTTGTGAACTATCAAAGATTATTCATTCACCTGGCCGTAGTGGAGTTTCCCTGAAGATTTAGATTGAGATGCAGAAGGACCTGGCACCACTGCTGCTGGCTCTGATGCTGTTGTATATCTAGTTTTGTTACGGTATCCCTCCCCTCGCTCATGGCGTTCCCAATCTTCTATACGTTCCTGACGCTTCTTCTCTTCCACCTATGAGTAGACATTGTTATATATCTACATTTCATCTAACACTATTTTTAAAGTAACCTCATTAAAGACTGGACTACCAAATTGAGATTTATTAACAGGAAGCTATACAATTTGAAATGGCACAATTCCCCTACCTTATAAAAACAAACTTTTTATTACTTACTTCTTGAACCTTCTCAGCATGCGCCATAGCACGCTTATTGTATTCCTCTTGCATGCGCTGTCGTGCAGCCTCTATTGCTCGCTCTCTTGCAAGGACTTTATCAGGATCTACAAATCAAAGAAAATTTAGTTACATCTTCATTAAAATATCATTTAAAAAATCATAAAGGATAAACTCCATTTTCATTTCAATGTCAAGTTTACATACAAGGACAGGAAAAAAATGTGAACCAAAGCACATACAGCAATCACTGTTGTGGGAGGGCCAATGGCATACAATAAAAAGTCACTTAATTCATATCAAACTTTAACAACCAAATGTTGATGTTAGTAGTGCATTGATGTATTAGATTTAATGGGATTCATAAAACTAATATCACAGCCAGTTGAATAATCAACCACAAAACACAAGAAAATAATATATTATTCCCTTATGTAGACCTGTCCATACTAACACAGTGAGGTTATTCCGTATTAAATATTTGTAGTATGATTATTAACGCTACCAAAAAGTTATTACAAGGCAATGGCTAAGCTTAGCAGGAGCTAACTAAAAACATTATCAGATAATACTGAAAAAGACAAATCCTATTTAAATTATTATATTCATTATATTTGTAGCTTTCTGGTGCATTTGCAAAATACCAAGTAATAATTCAAATGAAATCTTTGGTCAATATAGTTTACTATCAATTATACTTTAACGTGATAATGCATTTAATAAATTAATTCTAAT